TGCCCAGCCCTGTAAATAAGCAAATTAAGCTACTTAGATTTTTAAATCTCTCCAAAGTATGTAGGAATACCAAAAACAGGTAAAAAAAAAAAAATTAGAATTGTATAAAACCTAATTCAGGCAGTTTAAGAACATTAAATATAGTTGTTTTGAATAGACATCCTGGAGATTTTATCATCTGACCATTGAAGATTATCCATACTTTTATATGATAAATCACTTTAGTATAGTTTAAACATAGTGATTATAACAATTCAGGTAATTTTTACATTTGCTAGAGAGTTCATATTCAACTGTTTGTTTTACAATGAAACATTTAAGTGTCAAATTTCAGCTACAATCAGTTTATCTGAATCTTGCCTAATTTCTATTTTATGGAGTTTTGTAGTAAAAACTAGAGTAGGAGTCAGCAAACTATAACCCATAGGCCAAATATGGCTTGTCGCCTATTTTTGTGAATAAAGTTTTATTGGAACACATCTGCACTCATTCATTTTTGTACTGTCTATTGCTGCTTTGGCATTACAATGGCAGAATTGAGCAGTTGCAACAGAGATCATCCTATATAATAAAAGCATAATATGCTAAGTGTCTGGTCGTCTGGTTGTCCATTCAACCAATCAAAGTGTAATATGCTAATGATATGCTAAGGCTGCTCAACCGCTCCCTATGACGTGTACTGACCACCAGGGGGCAGACTGTAGGTTAGCTTGCTGCTGGGGTGCAGCTGATCGGGACTGAGCAAGATGGGCCGGACATGCCGTGGAGCCCTCCTGCAGTCCATCTCCGGCTGGCCAACCTCATGTCCCTCCCCGGTCCTGATCGTGCACTGGTGGGTTCCTTTGACCTGGCCTGTGCCCTCTTGCAATTTGGGACCCCTTGGGGGATGTCGGAGAGCTGGTTTCAGCCCAATCCCACAGGCCAGGCCAAGGGACCCCACTGGTGCACAAATTCGTGCACCAGGCCTCTAGTAGGCCCATAAGATGTAGAATATTTACTCTAGCCCTTTACAGAAAAAAAAGCTTGCCTGTCCCTGAACTAGACTACAAAATTCTATCATTAGTTGCAGTTTGACATATCTTAACACACACAGCAATTTTTATTTGGATTGTATTTGCAGTATAGTGATTTAACCTGAGCTGCTAGTTTTTAATTATCTATACTAATAAAAGAGTAATATGCTAATTAGACAGGGAGACCTTCTAGGAGACCTTCTGGACAAAGCCATGGTGGTGGGGCCGAGGCAGAGGTGGTTAAGAGTGATCAGGAGGGGAGAGCAGTTGGGGGTGATCAGGCTGGTGGGGGGAGGGGCAATTGGGGGCGAGAAGGCCGGCAGGCAGAGAGGTTAGGGGCAGTCAGGCAGGCAGGCAGGTGAGCAGTTAGGAGCTAGTGGTCCCAGATTGTGAGAGGGATATCCGATTACCGGTTTAGGCCCGATCCTACAGGGCATCCCCTGAGGGGTCCCAGATTGGAGAGGGTGCAGGCCAGGCTGAGGGACACTCCCCACCCCCACCCACCCACCCCCGTGCATGAATTTTGTGCACCGGGCCACTAGTATAAAATAGGTGGAATGAATTTAAACTTGGATTATGATATTTAAGGGAAGGTTATTTTTAGGATGCAAATCCTTAAAATTAAAGAAAAATCAAAATGTTACAAATTATGTAATTTGTAGAAATCTCAGAGTTTTAGAAGCACCCGGAGAGCTTTTCTTGAAAGTTATAGGTACCTGGGCCCTCCTCCCAGAGATTTTGTTTCATTTAGTTTGTGGGACTCAGGTTTTGATATTTTGAAAGTATTGAAGGTCATTCTAAAGTCAGCAAGGTTGGGACCACTGATTTTGTCCCATCCACCCATGTTATAAATGAGGCAACTAGGGTTGGGAGTGGTTGTGGTGCATTGAAACACATGCAGCCATTCAGTGGGGGTGCTAGATAAGAACCCAGTGCACTTGACTTTCCAGTTAATTACTTCCCTGTTAATTACTTCCCTATATCATTCTGCATTCTCAAACTAAGCTAGGGGTTGGCAGACTTTTCTGTCATAAAAGGCTACATAGTAAATATTTTAGGCTTTGTGGACCATACGACCCCACTATTCCTTTGTTCAAAACAGAATTTTCATTTCTTATGATTTCTGGTTTCTTCACCAAAGTTAGTCATTTTTTAAGGGAGGGGATGGTGGTTTGAGGGAAACTATACATATAATTTGGAAGTATTGCCACGTTGTAGTCAAAGACTCTATTAGTTTGCTAATGAAAATGGCATCTTAGGCCCTTAGGGGTCAGTCTCTTTCTTAAGAGAAAATTAAGGATCTAGTTGTTTCCAGACTCCTTAGTGAAAAAGCCAGTTTAGATTTTTTTGTTCGTTTTTGCCAGGATGAAAAGGCAGGTTTTTTTTTTTTATTTGTTTGTTTTAATTTTGTTTTTGTTTTTTTGTTCACAGTCTTAAGTTGAACAGACCTTTTCAGTATAAAAGCTGAGTCCATCTGTTTCTTCATAATCTTATAATAAAAAAATAAGTTAAAAAATTTTATGTAGAAGATAGGAGAAACAGTATGACATTCAAGATTTGATCATGAATTGACTTTAGTTCAGTATTTAGAAAATATAAGTAAAATGCATTAGATATCTGATTTAGTTATTAATAATTAAGCTTGCTCTTAATGATTTTAGTCAGGGTCTCCACTCTGAGTAAAATTTAGCTTTTTTGAAATTGTCTTTGTATTTCTGATCCCACTAGTCCTATTAATTTGAATTTTATTGGGAGATATGGGAATAGTCAACTGAATACTCCGCTTGGAGACTAAGTGGTGGTGGTAGCATTGGACCATTTTTGACACTGTTGGTTTGCCAGTTTCCCTCTGACCTTTTTCCAGTTTTATTCATGGACTATGTCAAAAAGGTTTCTTTCATGAGTAAATTTTGAACCCAGGTTCAAGGTGAGTTCAGAATATACACAAATTCATTCAATCCTTTTTTTTCAAATGCGGGGTTGTACATATTTTAATAATTTTCTTATGTATCTGGTATTTAATGCTGACAGGATTCCAGTCAATGGAGAGGTTTCATTGCAAGTAGCTGCAGGTGTGTTTCATGGTAGAGATAAAAGTTTTTAGTGAAGCAGACTTTTTCTTTTAAAACAATTTAGTAAATAATGAATATAGATTTTGCTTTTGTGGGGCAATATGGTATGCTTTTTGTGTGTTATGTTATTACTGCTAAATCATAATATTGAGTTGTAAAGGCAAAAAAAAAAAAATCAGATACCAAATCTTAAAAAAGTGAAAATATTAAGGGTTGTGAAGATGGGTACTTAATGTTTATTCTTATGTGGCTTAGTTTTTATAGAGTGACTAAACTTTTAAGGCATCACAATTAGATCTATTTGTAGCACGATGGTTTCATTTAAAAATATTAATTCTCTAATGCATTTTTATTTGGTACTGTTGTTAAATAGGCCTTCCCTCAAAACCAGACTAATGACTAGCTTTTGCATTAATTCTGCGCTTTATCATTTGAGCATTTACTCTTTACTAGGAATTATGCTTTCAGGGATTATATAGTGTAGAAGCAGTTGGTAGTGAAGAAATGTATGTATACAGGTTTCAATGTAAGATGAGTGGGTTTAAAAAATTTTTAGAAAATTTTTGATGTCATTTAGTCTGGAAATAAGATTACATGGTAGAATCTACTACCTTACTTGTTATATAAATACTTAGGATTAAGTTTGTTAAATTTCTCATCATTTTTGGTCCATAACAGTAAAGGCTATTTCTCTGGAAAATTTTTATCAACAGAAAAATATAGTATATACATTATTTATTTTGCCTTTTCAGCAGGCTATAGTCAGCAGACTGGACCCCAGCAACCTCAGCAGTTCCAGGGATATGGCCAGCAAGCAACTTCCCAAGCACAAGCTGCTGCCTTTTCTGGTCAGCCTCAACAACTGCCTGCTCAACAGCCACAGCAGTACCAGGCGAGCAATTACCCTCCACATACTTACGCTACCCAAACTTCTCAGCCTACTAATTATACTGTGGCCCCTGCCTCACAGCCTGGAATGGCTCCAAGCCAAGCCGGGGCCTATCAACCAAGACCAGGTTTTACTCAGTCTGCAAGTACCATAACCCCTCCTCCAAGTGGGCCTAACCCTTATGCACGTAACCGTCCTCCCTTTGGTCAGGGCTATACTCAACCTGGACCTGGTTATCGATAAAGCAGCTCAGTTACATTGATGAAGTGTAGCTGGTAGCTGTTTGCCTCCCAAAAGACTCCAATACTATTATTTTATTTTAATTTGTATTGAAGTTCAGAAATTTAAAAAGCAGAGCATTTTTTATGATATCATTGTTGCTGTTAATTGAGAGTATAACTTGCTAGAACACAAAAAAAGACCAAAATGAAAGTTTTTTTCCTCCCCTGCTTAAAAGTGTAGCAGCTTCCTAGTAATTTTGGAACACTACTCTTATGTGTGTAAAGTGATTGACTTTCTAGCTTGCCTTGTCCAGAGGTTATTAAAATGCTAGGTTGAAATTTAGCCATCTTATTTGGCTTTGTACTATTAACATGATGTACTAAAAATAGATCTCTTTGAAAAGACAACTAGATATTATGTATAAAATGTAACATTGATAGGTTAATAAAGATGATTGAATCAATTAACGGTCTTGTTTAATTTAATCACTAAAATTATATATTCATGAGAAAAAGGTGGGAAACAAATCCTTACTAATGTTTTGTAAATAAAGTATAGGTGGTCTAACTTAGACTAGTTTCTATTCAGAGAAACTGATTTTTGTCCTGACTTGAAAGAAATGCATTTAACAACTATTGGCTTAAAACAGTGAAACTTTAAAATTGATGTCACAGGAAGATAGATTAGCATAATACATAAACACAACAGATACAGTATTATAAAACACAAGGGGATTTTGGTAGATCCTGAATAAATGTAATTTTCCTTATAGAGATGAACTATTCAAAAATAAAGAACTCAGCCTTAAAAAAACACTATATTTCTTTATTGCAGTTTCTACTTGTTTGAAAAGTACAGAATGTAGCATTGATAAAATTGAAGCATGTTGAAAGGATCCTCTCAGAATGAGAGAAACAATGCAGCATTCCCACCTCCCTCTCCAAATGAGGAAAATACCTTTTTAAATAAAAATGAGTCTGAGTCAGTACAGGTTAAGTTAGACTGAAAACATCTTTTGATACATTCATTCCTAGAAGTCTTATGTGTAAAAATATAGTAAATATCCTGTAAAATGGTAGCGATCTCATCATATGTTATCTTTTTGAGCTCAGACTTCACATTCAGTTTCTTCATACAACTTGTTTAGAATTATATTAAAAACAGTACAAAGACAGTTGCTTGAAGGAATAGTTTGACAAAGTATATTCAGATATTGTAATATATAATTGAGTATAGTAAGAAAAAATGTGTATTTTTGAAACAATATGTCATTCTCAATTCTATTTTTAGCTGAAATGAAATTTACTTATTGAAACTAAACCTTTTTAATAATTTAAAAATATTTGAGGCAATGTATATTCACATGAATGTTTATTTAAACATTCAGAAAAGATATTCAACTATTGCTAAAAAACTGAAGTTTAAATAAACATGTGAATTTTACCCCCAGATATATATGCTGAAGTTAATCTGATCTAATAAGTTAAACCAAAGAGAGATTTATGGAATTAACTCACCAGTAGGAAGGATACACATTAATAAAAGTAAACATTTTTTAAAAAGTATATTAGTTTTTGATGTTAATTTTGTTATAAAAGTATCTCAAAACATTACAACATTGTGATAAATAATATACAAAAAATCTCTTAAAATACCATGAATAGGGAGCCAGCTTCCCCAGAAAATGTTACTCTGTTAATATCTTGCTTTATTAAAATGACTTTTTAAAACCTGATAAATATTCTCAGCAATTTTTCTAATAAAAACATCTAATACTGCTATCAATTAGATTTTAAACTTTTATACATAGTAAACAGAACAGCTTTAAATGAATGTGACAAATACCATAGTGTTTGCAATTATTTTTTGCCACGATGAAACAAGGCACTTGTGAACACGATTGCAGCGTCTACCATTTTCCAGGAATTGTGGTCCCACATTCATACCACTGAACGTAGTTGATTTGGGTGTGACCACCGATTTCTCCAAATTGGACAGGTTCCTGGCGAACTGCTCTGAAATAGCCTATAAGGGAAAGTACATTGTAATAATTGCAACGTTATATATTTGCCTTCATTGCTCATAGATTGAATGGCTGAATGTTACTCTAAGTGAAGTGAAGTATTTTAGAAATGGACATTTAGAAATGGTATCTTTCCTGAGGTAGAAACTGGGGCTAAACATGAGGGGCATCTGTAACTCCTTAACAAAGCATGGGACTATTGGTAGTGTCTAGGAAACAAAGCTGGAAAGGAGCAGGAGTCAGAAGGGTTGTGTGTTTCTGAGTGTCATTGAGCACATCTACACTCTGTCTTATGTGAAAGTGTACTTTCTGCACATTACAGACTCATGGTGGTCTGTGAAGAACTGACCAGAGTAATGGTGCTATATTTATTTACCACTGTGCTAAGAAACAAAAGAAAGCTAATATCAAGCTTGCTAAATTTCTAAGAATTAAACTTAGGTGGAATCTTCAATGACCCTATACTAAATGATTAAAAATTTCGAAATTTCTCTGTGAATGTAAAATATAGAAATATACACAATTTATAGTATGTTTATATCCAGTTCCTATAAGATACCAGTTTCAACTTCTGGTTCATGGGTTCACAGATCCTATTAAGGCATCTTTTCTATGATGCCAGCGAACAAAATGTGTTGCTGAAAAGACTAGTCAAATGATTTAAAGTATCTAACAAAGTTCTTGGTGATTCCCAAGTAATATGGACATTTAATTTACACTCTCCTGCCTTGCTTGGACAACAAGTAAATTAATTTTCATCTTTTTAATCCTCATTAAGCAGCTTAGTGCTAAAGTGTCTTCAGCATTACCTTGGTTATTCATTTTTTTAACAAAATTGTTCTATTTTAACTGAACTTATATAATGAAAGCACATACTAGTACTGTTTTTCCATTTGTGGTAGTCTGTCTTTAAAATTTTTTTAAGGGAATAAAAAAATGCCTATGTGCTCAGTATTGAAAAAAAACATAAAGGTACTATATGAATGATTTAAGTTTAGGAAACATTGCTCTTTTATTCAGGTTTCCTTGAAGTAGAACGCATTTATATATGTTTGTGTGTAGCTTTCCTTGGCCCTAAGGAATAGAGTCTTAGGGGCTGGGAGGAAAGTTGAGAAACTTTCATTAAGGTCTTTATACTAAGTAAGGTCTTTTAAAATTTTTTTCTTTCTAGCTATATAATTATAACAGTTCTAGCATAGAATTATTTTTAAAGTGATTGCTTTCCTCAGCTTGAATTCTTTTTGGGTCAATTTATAAAACCGTCCTGCTTTTGAGGAGGCTCAGAAAACATACCTTCTTTTGTGGGTAACTGCTCAGAAGTCAGTTGCTGTCCTGTGCGTCCATCTAAAAACGAGTCCACAAATTGGCAGTGATCTTCTCCATGGCCTCTCTGATCGCCTATGTTATAAAATTTTCCTGAAGAACCAAAAATTAAAAGGATCATAAAATGTTACTTTCTTTAATACGATACTATCCTATCTAATAATAGAGAAACATGGTAATTAACCATAACTTCGCTACCCTTCCCATTGGCTAATCAGCACGATATGCAAATTAACTGCCAGCCCAGATGGCGGCCGGCAGCCATGCAGCTGAAGCGAACATGAGGCTTGCTTGCTCCAGTGACAGAGGAAGCCAAGGTTCCCCGCCTGCCACAGCCCAGCTCTGTGCTCCGGATGCAACAATGTTGCAACTATAGAAGCTAAACAAACTCCAGAAACCTGCTTTTAGCCGGTAGCGGGCTCAAAGCTTAGAGCGCCAGTGATGGTAACAGAGTTTCAATTATAGAATTTAAACAAACCCAGATATCTGCTTTCAGCCAGCCACGGCCTCAGAGCTGGAGCCGGCTCTCAGCTCCAGTGACAGCCATAGAAGGTAAATAAATCCCAGAATAAAAAAAAGAAGAAAAAAAGAGGCTGGGAGCTTCAGTCACCCGCCAGCCTGAAAATGGCCCTCAGCCCCTCACCCAGACTGGCCAGGCACCCCAGTTGGGACCCCCACCCTGAAGGGGGTGTGACCAGCTGCAAACAGCCATCAGCCCGTCATCCAGGCTGGCCAGGCACCCCAGTGGGGACCCCCACCCTGATCTGGGACATCCTTCAGAGCAAACCAGCCGGTCCCCTCCCATGCACCAGGCCTCTATCCTATATAGTAAAAGGGTAATATGCAAACTGACCCTAACAGCAGAAAGACTGGGAATGACTGGTCACTATGACACACACTGACCACCAGGGGGCAGACGCTCAATGCAGGAGCTGCCCTCTGGTGGTCAGTGCGCTCTCACTGGGGGGGAGCTCTGCTCAGCCACAAGCCAGGCTGATGGCTGCCAGTACAGTGGTGGTGGTGGGAGCCTCTCCTGCCTCCTCAGCAGCACTAAGGATGTCCGACTGCAGCTTAGTTCTGCTCCCCGCTGGCAAGTGGACATCCCCCGAGGGCTGCCGGGCTGCCAGAGGATGTCTGATTGCCATCTTAGGCACAATCCCCTGGGGAGCAGGCCTAAGCCAGCAAGTGGTCACCCCCGAGGGGTCCCAGACTGCAAAAGGGCACAGGCTGGGTTGAGGGACCCCCTACCCCCGAGTGCACAAATTTTTGTGCACTGGGCCTCTAGTATAATATATAAAAGCCCAAGCACCTGGACGATTGGCCGGTATGACATGCACTGATCAACGCACTGACCAGATGCTCAACGCAGGAGCTGCCCCCTGGTGGTCAGTGCACTCCCACAGTGGGAGTGCCAGACGCCAGGCTCATGGCTGGCAAGTGCAGTTGCGGTGAGCCTCTCCTGTCTCCCCGGCGGCTCGCTACCGAGCTGTGGTGGTAGGCGCAGCGGGGCCAGGATGAGCGGGAGCTGCGCAGCACCCAGCCCGGGCTCCTCCCTGGCTGCCTGGCCTGTGAGGATAGGGCCAAAACCGGCAGTCTGACATCCCCCGAGGGGTCCTGGATTGCAAGAGGGCACAGGCCAGGCTGAGGGACCCCACTGGTCCACGGATGCACCAGGCCTCTAGTTCTGAAATAATCACATTGTTCCAAATAATCATTCTTTCCTGATCTTGTACTTTTGCCCTAGTTCAAGCCATCAGTGCCCTTTGACTGAACTATGAAATGGTCTCCCAGCTGACATTCCTGTTTTTCATTTTGCCTCTATTCTTCCTTTCTTCCTCTCATAGCCTACATGTTTTAAAAATGCTTCTCAGGTAATGTTACTCCCATAAATCTCTCCAGCAAACTCCTGTTGTACTCAGAAGAAAACCCAAAGTGTCACATGATTTCACACCTGCCTGCCTTGTCTTCCTCTTACTAAGCCTCAGCCACACCAGTGGAACTGGCTGTGCATGTTGTGCCACAGGCCTTTGAGTTTCTCTTCCCTCCATCTTTGCTTTCCCCTAGATCTTTGCTTGGTTGGTGCCTTCTCGTAGTTTTCTTCCTGGCACAGTGTTATCTTTTCAGAGAGGCTTTTCCTAGCACTTCTAATTAAAGGAGCTTCCATTCAGCCGTTTTGTTCCACTCTTTAAGTTTTTTTTCAAAGCACTACAACTAGATTGTAAGCTACAAGAGGGCTTGCTTGTGTCTTGTTTGCTGTTTGTCCTTAACACCTAGAACAATGTCTGAATAAAGCAGATACTATTGAATAATTGAACAAATGCCTACCTTTCTCAGCCTTATTTGTTTAAAATTTTTATTGTAGGAGTAGAGAAGTGAAAATAAGCTGCTGGGTCTGGAGCAAGGGGTTACATAGCCTTTCCAGCCAGTTGTTGTAATCTTGATCTTGTCGTTAATAGACTTAAAATTTTGATTGTCATATTCCTCCCATGAGGACTGTTAGATACACCCATTTTATTATCAGTAAGGTTTTTATCTTTGGTTGGCTGTAACAAAATTGAGCTTGAATGTGGCTAGTGTCTTTACATTCAAGTTTGCCATGATAGCACTGTTCAAATTGCATTTTCATTGTTTACCTTCTAATAGCATGTCTTAAATCCTTGTTTTCTAGGCTATTTCTTGTTCAAAAAGAATATTTGTATTTACATCATACCTTAGTTTCTGTCCAAAGAAAAAACCAAGTTTTACAGAATGCTGCAAAGCATTTCCTGATAGACAAGACTCAAAACAGCAGGTAGTCTTGCTTACCTGTGAGGGAGTCGCTCAGATAAATCTTGTATCTAAGGGAGTTGCATAGCTGCACCCCTACAAACTTTTTATACCAAGTCCTTTTGACATACTGTTTGCCTTTACATTCTGAGTAAGAGTCTGAATCAAAGGGTCTTTCTGTCCAGATGGCATCTCTTCCTCCTGCATAAGGAAAACATAAGATTTGAGTTTAGTATCTGATTTTGGTGCTGAAGAGCTGTCCTAAAAGCTTTAAAAAACAAACAAACAAAAAACAGTTTGCAAAGTTCACTGTCAACTTGCTGACAGCTGGTTTTCTCCAATGCTAAATATTGGAGCCAAAATATTATAGGAGTTAAACACATAAGGCCCCACTTAAGTTCCTGTCAATAGTGATAAAGTTGTAGAGGTGTATTTTTAGGTGTTGAATAGCCTTTGCAGTGCTAGATGTAGACAGCATCCTGAGAGAATTCAGGTTTTGTTTTGTGTTGCAGCATACACAATTTAAACAGCTGCTCTAATCTGACTTGTTATTAAAAGTGGAAATGAGGGTATTATATCTTGACAGTTATTATACAGAAAATTTGGTACATGAATGAAAGCAAGCTTCAAAATATCCAACTGGTTCCCAAAACATCAGACTCTTGATGAAACTGAGTGTTCTGGATACACATTCGCACCTGATTGATATCATGACTTACATTCTGCCATGTCTGGGTAGTGGAATCAGTTTAGAAAAGCATGTAGTTAGGTTCACATCAAGACAGGTACTTACCAGAAACTGGCTCGCTCACTCTCGGATCCGCTGAGGAGAAATGGCAACAGTCAGAAGTTATTAAGTGAGTAGGTCTCAGTGTTCCAGGGGCACAGTGCAGAAGCTGGGTGCTTACAGTAAAGAAATTTTACCCACAAAATACTTTACTCTTTCTAAAATGGAACTGGAAAGTGTGTGGGTGTTGTTTTGGAAATGGTCTCAATTGGAAATCTTCTGCCAGATAGTCAGCTGTATCTTTTATTTGTGATTTGAGTAGTTAGACATCTTCATTGCTGTTCTAGCTTTCACTTCCGTTTTAAAAGCCTCCTCTTAGTTTCATACAAAAATTACTGATGATAAATCACCAACGTGCCATGAACTGCAGTTGGTGTAAAATTATACAAATGATGCTGTGAGCATATATTTATTTCATTAGGGAATTGGAGCTTAGTTGCTCGCAAAAGAGAACTTCACAGCTGCTTATCAGAAAACAAACGTATCAAATGAGGTTTCCTTTTAAGATGTATGGCTCAGCATGTCTGATATTTTGATTCTAGGCATTGTTGCTGGCATACAGAAGACCATTAGTTCACTAGATTTTTGAGTATAGATTAAACACTTTTCTTTTAAACTGTTATACCTAATTTTTTTCTTACATCAAAATATATGAGGAAAAACATAAGTGGTCTTTCCTTCTGGGCATCGTCCACAATTGGTTTTGTCCCATAGATGATTTTTGGGAATTCAAGAAACTATACATAGTGTTTGGCTGGGTTTCAGACAAGTTCCCTGTTGCAAAACACTGTAGCCCTCTACATCCTTGTTGGGAGTTGCTGTTGACGTGATTACCTGATTCAGTGCTGAAAGCCACTGTGGTGCTGGGCGGGCCTTCTCCGAGTGGGTTTTTTGGTTTCACCTGGAACTCATAGCTGTGTAGGGGGAAATGAAAATAAATTGTAATACATTCTTCAGGGGAGACAACATCCCCTTGTATACTAACATCCTGAATCTGCTTTGAATGGACATATGTTCTAGAAGCACAAGGAAAGGAAAACAAAATATTGAATCTTAACTTTCTAAACAGCTTGTGTAATGCTTTGTATAAGAACAGGGTTAAGTTAATAAAATAGTTGTCTGTTTAAAAAAGTCCAAATTAGTAGAAATAACTGGGCAAGTTGGTAATGGATATATAGGAAAGAGGTATGTGGTGGACCCAGACCAATTCCAGCAACAAGGACCCTCGGTTTTCTCTAGGTGTTTCAACTACTTCCTGGGGGAAAGAAATAGGGAGAGCCCTTTTTATTCCTTTTAGCCCAACCCTCAAAGCCTTAGACTTAGGCAGTGTTTCTCTTTGTGGGGTTTGCACTACCTATGTTGGAATCGCATAGCAGCAGCTGTGGGGAAAGTTTGTTTTAAATGCAGATTTGTTGCTCCATCCTATCGAATCAAATTTTTGAGGGGGTCCAGGTAGGAATTTATAACAAGTTCCTGAGCTGAATCCTGCTTCCATTGACATTTGGAAACTATTAGACTAAGCTATGGAAACAAATGCACATGAAAAAATGTCTTTACAAGGACTTCCTGGTTGTGTTCCCTGGAACTCAGGTCTTCTGTGGACCACAGGAAGCCACATCATCTCCAGGATAGGGACACGGAAGTGTCACCTCTTGAAGAGCACAGGCACAAAGGCAGAGTTCTCTCGTCTCTGCAAATCAGATTCACATGGGCTAGGCCAGCCGTGGGCAAACTACGGCCCGCGGGCTGGATCTGGCCCGTTTGAAATGAATAAAACTAAAAAAAAAAAGACCGTACCCTTTTATGTAATGATGTTTACTTTGAATTTATATTAGTTCACACAAACACTCAATCCATGCTTTTGTTCCGGCCCTCCGGTCCAGTTTAAGAACCCATTGTGGCCCTCGTGTCAAAAAGTTTGCCCACCCCTGGTAGGCTCTTAGCTTTCATGTTAAAAACCAAAACACAGGCCTGGCGGATGGCTCAGTTGGAACATCAGCCCATACACCAAAACAGATTGCAGGTTCAAGCTCTGGTCAGGGTGCATACAGGAGGCAACAGAAGGATCTTTTTCTTTCTCTCCCTCTCCTTGCCTCTCTCTAAAATTAGTAAATAAATCCTCTCATGAGGATAAAAAAAAAACACACCCAAATAAACCCAGATCTTTTTGGAGTTATATGTTTGATTATATCCTTACGAAGTACACATTAGCCGAAACCGGTTTGGCTCAGTGGATAGAGCGTCGGCCTGCGGACTGAAAGGTCCCAGGTTCAATTCCGGTCAGGGGCATGTACCTTGGTTGTGAGCATATCCCCAGTAGGAGATGTGCAGGAGGCAGTTGATCGATGTTTCTCTCATCGATGTTTCTGGCTCTCTATCTCTCTCCCTTCCTCTCTGTAAAAAAATCAATAAAATATATTAAAAAAAAAAAAAGAAGTACACATTAAATTGCTATGCAATAACTGAGAAATGTAATTCATAGAATACTTAAGCAGAGCACATCCTTTTAAGAAATTCAAATAGTAAAGCTAGTTTCCATTTGCCTAAAACTAGGAGTTTTGGATGCAGAAAGTATTTTGGATGCAAAATCAATTTGAGTCAGCTGATAGTATGGTGAGTCTCAAATTTGTATAGGCTTTTGGTAGATAATTCCCATTTTTTGAGAAGTCTGTAATTGAATAAGAATGCAGAACAAACAAAAGGAAGATATTTTACAAATAAGTGAAAAACAGGATGACAGCATTAACACACTGCTGGAATCCTTAAGACAGATTCTAGCATTACAACAATGGCAACCCCTGTAGGGGTGCTTACTATATACCAGACACATTAATCATTCTGTGTATATAAAGTAACACACAAACCCTAAGAGATCAATGTTATCCCATTTTTTCAGTTAAGAATGTTGAGGCTCTTAACCATTGTGCTGTCTGCTTTTACAACCTTTGTGAAATGAAGGTTAAAATTTACAGGGTTGCCCTAGCCGGTTTTGCTCAGGTGATAGAGCATCGGCCTGCGGACTGGAGAGTCCCGGGTTTGATTCTGGTTGGCATATGCCCGGGTTGTGGGCTCGATCTCCAGTAGAGGGCATGCAGCAGGCTGCCGATCAATGATTCTCTCTCATTGATGTTTCTCTCCCTGTCCCTTCCTTTCAGAAATAAATAATAATATGTAAAAAAAAAAATGTACTGGGTTTTTACTGAGACTGCACAGCAAAGCATTTTGTAACCTAATCAACTGATATAAGATGCCATTTATCATTTGCAATAAGAGAATGCCGATATGAAACCACATGTCACTCATTTAAATAAATTGCACATACATAGGGAGTTTTGGCATGGAATATTTTCTAGAGATGAGATTCTTGCTCAGAAGCCTGATGACCTTAAAACAAAAACAAACCAGTATGATGAACTGATAATGGAAAAAAGAAACCACAGGCATCTGGACTTTGATTCAAGTGGGCAATGCATCCCACATTCCAGGCCACTGCCAACAGCCCTGTGCTTTGGCTAACTCTGATTGCTGGAACCATCTCCTTGTCTTTTTATCTTGCAGTTATTTATACTTCAGCTCTATTTGTAGTGTGGCCACAAATACTCCTAAGAAACTTTGTTTTTTTGCCAACATTTTGTGATACTTGACAAGTTTTGAAGAAATCATTTTAAAGTAAATTTAACAGCATGGGGACTAAAAGGTACATATTTTTGGCAGATTAAACCCTATATAAAGAGAAAATATTGAAGTGGCAAAGTTTTTCCCCAAGAAGCACATTATATCACAAGGTCTATGACATTGTAGGTCAATATTGATTATACATAGGAAATAAGCATGGGATGCTATATTAAAAAGTTATAAAGCACAATAAAGCTATTTAAATAATACTTTGAAGATTTGGAAGATCAAGCTAAGGAAGTTTTACAAATACATGAACAAAAAGAAATGAAAAGTGAGAGAAAATAAGAAAATAGGATTATTTCAGGGAATACAATACCTAAGTAGTGGGTTCTAGAAGAGATAGGGGAAAAGAAGGGTAGGAAATTATCCTGGAAATTATGTAATTTCTCAGAACTGAAAGACATGAGTTTGCAGATTACAAAGGCCCAATGTACACCCAGAAAAATGAAAAAAGAAAAAAACCTCCAAAGCACAAATGTTCCAAAATTTCAGAGTATGGGGGTAAAGAAATGATTTTAAGTTTCTGAGAAGAAAATAGGTCCCATTCAAAGGACGCAGAATCAGAATAACATTTGACTTCCTAGCAGCACTGGAAGCTAGAAAACAATGGAACAATGTCTTCAAAAATCTTCATTGTATCCTAAACTCCATGTCTAGCTAAATGGTAGTATTAGAGTAAAACAAGGATATTTTCAGATATGCAAAGACTAAAAAATATTATCTTCCTTAAGCTTTTTTCCAAGATGTATTTCTGAAGAAGTGCCACAATGTGAGGGCGTAAACAAAGAAGGGAGGCAGGAGATTACGAGCTAGGTTATTGAACATAGGAGAGAGCCAAAAGATGATGATGTTGAGGAATTCCAGGAGATGTTGCCATAAAAAAAGTACATGGAACATATAGATGACCTGAGTATTTGATCATTCTGAGAAATAGTCAGTCTAGAAATACGGATTTAATTGACCAAAGAAATAGCTAAAATAATTGGAAATTGCAGAGGTGACCAAGATGGTGACATAGGCTTCTGAGCTCCCCTCCTCCTACAGACACAGCGAATGTATAACTGCACATTCCTAATGAAAGTGATCCAGAAACTAGCCGAACAGCTCCTACACATTGGCAAATGACAGAACACCCACCCACATCAAAATGCCTAGAAAAGGCTGAGACACTTGACAGAGCCCCCTGCCACAGGGCCATACGATCAGGAGCAGACTCCCAACTACTGGCTTTTCCCTGAGGAGCAAAGGGTTTGGACGTCAAATCTAGCATCTGGATTTTGCCAACATTTGTGATACTTTTCTCAACTTCTAAGACTCTCTAAATACCCATTTCTGAAAGCCAATGGGGATTGTGTCTATGAGACCCTTAAGAATATAGCAAAACAAAACCCAGTTATTCACAAATGCATTGAGCACTCACCTCCCACCCCCATCCAGTGATTAGAGCAGAGGAAATAGGCAAAACCTCCCGCATACTCTACCTGAGGATGAGGTTTCTAACCTCAGCACACATCTAGTGACTGGCTGCAATACTCCCCAGAGACGGAAACAGCAAACACCTTTCCTGCCCTCTCTCTTCAGCCCACTCCAACAACAAAACCAAGTTACTAGTGTCTCTCTGGAAGGAATTTTTGCAAATGGCTGGCACTCCAGCTTTTGTGGCTGCTGCCCAAGGGATGGCCCCCAGATTACCTGGCTCTGAGAGCCAATGGGGCTTGAATTCCTCAGCACCCCCAGTACTGTATCAAATGAAGCATTCTTAACAGGTGCAGGAGTATTCCCTTCTCCCCACAGCTATATCTGGGCCCAGCAGAGAGGAAGTAGGCAAAAACACCCATCTCCCAGTGTTTCCCTAGAAGGGGTTTAACTACATAATTGCCCAGCTGCTACCTGAGGGTCCAGTTTATAATCAGCCTGCATCTACGTGCTGACTGCCATTCTCATTTTTGGGACACTGACAGGTTTTGGCACACACTCAACTCCTGAAGCCACTATAGAAACAAGGAAAGTGGCTTGGACACTCTCAGAGGCTTGAGAGACAACTAGAAACTTGGCTGGATTGATCAAAGTGATTCACTTTTATAATAAGAACTAGAGGCCCAGTGCACAAATTTTTGTGCACTCGGGGGGGTGGGGGGAAGGGTCCCTCAGCCCAGCCTGTGCCCTCTCGCAGTCTGGGACCCCTCGGGAGATAACGACCTGCTGGCTTAGGCCTGCTCCCAGGTGGCAGAGGGCA